GAAAGCACAAGCAGGGAGTGGGGAGCGGGGGAGAGGGAGAAGCAGACTCCCTGCTGAGAAGGGAGCCCAACATGGGACTCAATCCCAGGACCCTGGGGGCCATGACCTGAGCTAAAGGCAGACGCTTAATGGACTGAGCCACCCAGGCGCCCGTGTCCTGCCCATTCTTTGCTATCTGGCATCCTTGCTGCCCGGGAGCTTCAGCTCTCCAGTGCCCGGGGTCCTGCCCTTAAACTCTCATCTCCCAGTGCTCGGGCTCCTCTCGGTCACCACCTCCCAGCATTTCATCTCCGGTCTTTCGTCCAAGGCTCTAGAAACCTTGTCCCCACGTGCTTCTCAAGTATTGCTCCTTGATACTCTGACAGCCAACTGTCTGAAGTTGCTTGAAGCCAACTACCTGAAATCCTCACCTGGGCCAGTTTCCTGTGCTCCCAGTTAGATCAATATGCTGGACCTTGGGCTCAGACTCAACCTTGGCTCAGGTACTTCTACTGCTCTGGGCCACTCCCTTCAGCCTGCTCTCCAGTTCTCAGATCCCCTTTTTATGGAGTAAGGCTTGGGTACTTGAGGACAAGCAGTTGAACGTGGCACCAGAGGAGACAAGAGCCAGGTTTGAAGGGACTGGTGGGCCAACTAAGGGGTTTGAACTTTATTTTGAGCACAGTGAAGAATCACCAGTTTTCTTTTCTGTTGAAAGAAGTTGAGGGCGCCTGGGTGGCTCAGATGGTTAAGCGTCTGCCTTCAGCTCAGGTCATGATCCCGGGGTCCTGGGATTGAGACCCGCGTCGGGCTCTCTGCTCAGCAAAGAGCCTGCTTCTCCCTCTGCCTCTGCCTCTCTCTCTCTCTGACTCTCATGAATAAATAAATAAAACATCAAAAAAGAAAAGAAAAGAAAAGAAAGAAGTTGAAAGGTAAGTCTGATAGATATATATAGCCCCCAGCATTGTAAGGGGACAACAGTAGAGGTGACTTCTGCTGGAAAGAAAGGACAGCCAAAGTCTGGACTAGGGATCATGGCTGTAGGGACGGCGAGAAGGAACCCAGTGGGATCCCCTTCCCCTCATGTCCACTCAGACTCATCCAATCTATTCTCCACATTGCAGCCAGAGTGATTTTCATGTATAAATCTGCCACCCCCAATCCCACCCACCCTTCTCTGTCCTCTTAGAGAAAGGGCCCAAATCCTTATAAAGTACTGAACAATAGGGCCTCTGCCTCCCTCTCCCCCTCCTCCCCCATTATTATTCCTATAATTCATTATGCTTCAGCCACAGTGGCCTTTCTCAAAGTCTTATTTCACCTCATTCAGGACTGGCATGCACACTGTTCCATCTGTTTAGAAATTGAGCTCCCCACCCCATGCCCTTGATCTAGTCGTAGTCAACTCCTGAGGCATTCTTTAGATCCCCTCTTAAATGTCCCTTCCCCAGAGAAGTCTTCCTGGTCTCCTCCACAAAGCATTTTAAGTACATATTCCTTTCATAACATCATTTGTCTGTTTCCCCAACTAGGCTGTAAGCTCTACGAAGAAGGGACCTTGTCTATTTTTGCTCACCATTAAATACCTGGTGCAATGCCTGGAACATAATAGGGGCTTAAAACTTATTCACTGAGTGAACAAATGAGTGAATTAAACCAAACTTAGTGAACAGAATGAGGGTGAAGTAGGGAGGAATCCGGAATGACTCCTAGGTGTCTAGCTTGGCAGAATGGTTGCCATTAACTGAGGAAGAAGAGTGAGTTTGGAGGATATGCTAAATATGAGGTATTACTGACAATTGTAAGGTGGAAACATTGAATAGCCTGCAGATAAGTGGGTCTGGAACTCAAAAGAAAACTGGGCCAGAGATACAAATTCAGGAGCCACAAGTCCATACACAGTTGGACGCCTGGAGGGGACAAGACCCTTCAGGAGAAGGAATAGATTGAGAAAAGAAGAGGGCTCAGGTACAATCCCAAGGAACAATAACAAGAAGTGGAGGAAGTGAAGGAGCTCACGATCACTCATTGAAGGAGTAATCAGAGAGGTGAGAGCCTCCTACACTAAAGTCTCTTGTGACTAGACCAAGCCTAGTATTTCCCAGTGTTCCCCAGCCGTGACCTAGGGGGTCCCTTTCTGTGCAGGTGAGGTGTCTTAGTAAAGAAGATGTTTCCCTGGAGCTATTAGAATGGGAGGCTGGCCCCTTACTCACATGGGATACGGTAAAGCAAAAGTGAATCATCCTCCTCTATAGACAAATGCTTACGTCTCTCAGGAGTGATCCCACCCAATTCTGAAGAGTGAACTCGGTTAATAGGAATATGGCCCACTCTTTCCTGAGAGTTCACTGAAGGAATTATGCAGATTTCTTTAGCTCCAAGTGATAGACTTCTGAACTCTTATATCACAATGAATTCTATCCCTTAGCAAATGTCAGCAAAGGTTAAAACAAACAAGCTTTTGGTTTTAGATTCTTAAATACACAGGTTCAGGAATTTAAGTACACACATCTGTATATACATGGCACATTACAAAGATGGTTACAGCTTTATTTTAGCTAGGATTCTTCCATGATCCTATCCTCCTAGTGATTTTACTCTTCACCAAAAAGCGCATTCTTGACATCGTTTCAAGTGACTTAAAGATAATATCTCCTTTAAAGATCAGATGGAAGTGTGACCTATCTATGTCATAAGGAGATTGTAGAAATTCACCAGATTCTACAGAAACCCACAGGAATGATCTACAGTCACAGTCCCCTGATGCATACACACAAGGAGCTTCCATGGGCTCTAACATGGAGGTAGGGGCCCTTTTTTACAGAGGACTGTGTCTGTGGAGGCTCCCATCCCCCCTGGCTCATGTCCAGATAGAACCTCCTCTGGGATGGAAGGCAGGCCTTGGCAATTTCCCAGGCTGGGCAAAGTGGATGCTTGGTCTTCAATGTTGGTGGAACTATAAGCCAAAGAAGGTCCTTCTGCCTCTTCCACCAGCTGGACAGTTACAGGTCAAGTCCATTCAATGGGCCTATGTTACAAACATACTCCTCCACCAATCACTGGATCAATATGTGACATTGAATACAAAATCCTATACATGATGAGTTCTCAACTATGTTAACAAGAATCACAGAAGGTGAGAAACCCCTCAGAAATTAACTGTGGTTATCTCTGAGAAGTGGAATTATAGATGACTTTTTAAATTCTCTTTTCTAGACTTTTTAAATTCTCTTTTCTAGACTTTTTTTTGGTGATTTTTTAAGTGTCTTCAAAGAGGCTATTGCCAATTTTAGAATGAAACTTGTTGAGAGTGTACTATCCGTCACACTATTAGCTTTGCACTGAATTGCTAATCCCACCTCTGGCCTCTGCCTCTAAAACCCAAGTGGGCTTCAGAACCACTCCTCTGAGGTTTGCTGTCCAGGAAGTCTTCCTATAATGGACATCCAATGTTTGACCTGCCCACTATCCAGGGCACCTTCTTTGGATAAAATAACTATCTCCCCTCCTACCCTGCCCTCTGCCGTTAGGTACTACCAGTAAAGTTGCCCAGGCAAGGCGAGGAAGGTCCGCAACCAGAGCCGGCCAATCCGGCTCTCTTCTGGGAATCTGATCTTTCACAGGGAGACTATTGATGGCTGCAGCTGACAGTAGACCCTAAAGAGATAATATCTTAGTTACCTGCCCTATTCTGTTGTTTTCAAATTGGTTCTTTAGCTTTGCTTTGAGTCTGTGAACTCTCCATATTTTTCCAATAAATTCCTGTTTCTCTTAAGTTATTCTGTCAGTTTCAGTTACTTATAACTGAAGAACACAACTGATACAACAACCTCTCCCCCGGGACCTGTCCAAGGAGGACTGCTCCAAGCTGAACCTGTAGGTCAACTGTTGCTCCAGTGGATATGGTCCCATGCTAGCCCAGCTCCTTCCTCTTAACCCAGAACTAGCTGCATCAAGGTAGCCGCCATTACTGACTGCCCTAAGTAAGTGCACGATAGCATTTTAGACCAAAGACAAATCAAAACCTGATGCTGCTAAGAAATGTTGATTCATAAAAAATAATTCTCTCTCTCTCATCTGGGAGGGAGGAAGCTAAGGAGGGGAGAGAGTGAGCATGGAAGGCTCCCAGAATCTGCTGTTTGTATGACCCCCAGTTGGAGCTTGGGAAAGAGACGAGCAAATGGACCAAACATGGTGATTCAAACTAGGGCAATGTCTAGAAACACCTGGGAAGGCCCATCCATGGACACTGTCTCTGGGGCAAGAGACATGTCACTGAGCTCAGAACCTCAGAGCTTCAGCTTTGGAAAACTGGAGTCATCTAGACCTTCTTCCTACTGGGCCAGGAGTCTCTGCTCGAGCACCTCAGGCAGATAAGCGGAAGAACTTGGGGTCATATACAGAATGGGGTGTCCCCTTAATGGTTTAGGATGACCAGGACTCCTATGACCAACCATATTGACTAGTATAATTTTATCCCTCTTCCCTTCCCCCTGGTCCTACAAGGTCTTTAACAAGTATCTTCCTGCTAAATAAGGTGAGGAGGGCTGAGAAGGAAGAGGGTGCTGGTCAATAATTTTCCAGCTGTGCCCAACGGAGTGAAATTGGGGAGGAGAGTTTGCTCTTCGCTGGCAGGGTCTGAATAAGCATCTCAGCCGTTCCTGTTTTTTCTTTCAGCAAATAAGATCATTCAGGCGTTATTAGAAAAGAGGCATGGGAATTCAGGCCAAGTATATACATGAGTAAATTTCCTCCTTAAGATTTGAGGAGTGGACGTGGTACTTTGCCTGGGAATGAATGCTTTCCTGGATGTGGGACTTTAATATCAAAACTGGGGTGGGGGATGCAGGCAGGAGAAGAAGGTGGGAGTACAAAGTCCCTCGTGTGGTCCATCCACAATGCGCCCAGTTTAAATGATGGGGCTGGCCTCCGTGGGGTGCAGACCTGTGCTTCTGCTTTAAAGGCTAGTAAGGAGCCCCATTCTGAGCACTGGGTTCTCTGTGACAGCCAGGGGCTCTCACCCCTCTTTCCCCTGCCCTCTCACATACCCACATGCCCCTTCTCCTCCCCCTCCCAAGAAAAATCGTTCGCTCCAATCTGGGCTGTTCCTGATGAGGACAGAGACCAAAACACTTCCTTGAACTTCACCCTGGAATCATTCACACATAAGAATGCATTTCCTTGTCCGCCTGCCAGAAACAGAAGGGCTTGCCTCTACTGCAGACGGTGTCCCGATTAGCTCGAGGGGGTCGAGAAGGTTTATTCTCCAGCCACCACCCCATGACCGCCTAACTCCTAACACATGCTTATTTGAACAGTAATGATAGTTTACATTTAATGAGTGTTTGAGCCTGTGTCAGGCTAATCTTCACAATGACCCTGCGAAGGAGAGACTATTTATCCCCATTTAACAGATGAGACTGAGGCACCGAGTTCACACAACAAGTGACAGAGCTGGGGTTCCACCCAGGTAGTCAGCCTCCAGTGTCTTCATCTTCAAAGATCAGTCCCTTAAGACAATGTCTCTTGGGGCGCCTGGGTGGCTCAGTGGGTTAAGCATCTGCCTTTGGCTCGGGTCATAATCTCAGGGTCCGGTGGCAGGCAGGGAGTCTGCTTCTCCCTCTACCCCTCCCTCCTGCTCGTGATAGCTCTCTCTCTCTCTCTCTCTCTCTCATTCTCTCATATAAATAAAATCTTAAAAAAAAAAAAAAAGACGATGTCTCTTCCCTTTCACCTTAAAGGTGAAAGAGGAATTCAGTTGGAACATTAGGACCTTTGGGTTTCCTGCTTCTGTCAGTATCCACACACCTGTGGCTTGATTGCTGCACACTCTGCTGTTCGAACGGAGTAATGTGCTTTTCTGCACTGCTGCACCCCTGGGGCCCCCCTGCGGTCACCTTGCCGTGGGTGAGGCTGCTTCCCCAGTGCCTCTCCAGGGAGTCAGATGCTCCCTACTGTCAACAACAGTTTGCCTCTCTCCCCAGAGAACACCTCTTCCCAAGAATTTCTTCCCTCACACTGCATGGAGGGCTTATTTTGTAGAGAAGCAAGAACTCTGTCAGCTCATCCAGAGCAAGATGCATTCAGAACAAGTAATTCCCACAGAGGAGATGCCGAACCTTTCTGTCAGGATTCTCTGCACGGCAGTGGGTTTGCTACCTCTCGCTGGGGATGCTTTTAACCGAAGAACGTGAAATGCAAAACCCTCTTTTTACCTCCTGTTCATCTGACTCAGCTTTCCAGGGAAAGTGCCCAGGAGCTGAAGTACATTCAGCTTCCCGACTCTTTCTCAACTCCCTGCAGAAGCCCAGCAGAGAGAGAACAAGGTGGGACCCTGGGGGCCGGAGCTGGAGAGAGGCCAAGACCCAGGGTTCCTTTGAGCCCAAGGAGGAGGAAATGGTTATGTGGGTCTTATTTATCAATATGCACCGTGTTAGAAATTAAAACTGAGAAGTTTACAGACTACACAATCATTTAAAAATAATCCTAGGGCGGGCGCCTGGGTGGCTCAGATGGTTAAGCGTCTGCCTTCTGCTCAGGTCATGATCCCAGGGTCCTGGGATCGAGTCCCGCATCGGACTCCCTGCTCCTTGGGAGCCTGCTTCTCCCTCTGCCTCTCTCTCTCTCTCTCTGTCTCTCATGAATAAATAAATAAAATCTTTTAAAAAAATAATCCTAGGGCGCCTGGGTGGCTCAGTCAGTTAAGTGTCCAACTCTTGGTTTCAGCTCAGGTCATGACCTCAAGGTCGTGAGATGGAGCCCCACTTCAGGCTCCGCACTCAGCGGGCTGTCTGCTTGTCCCTCCCCACCCCACCCCACCCCACTTGCGTGCTCTCTCTCTCAAATAAATACATAAAATCTTTTTTCTTTTTTTTTAAGTAGCAATAGGGGGCGCCTGGGCGGTTCAGTTGGTTGGGCATCTGCCTTTGGCTCAGGTCATGATTCTGGGGTCCTGCGATCGAGCCCCACGTCGGGCTCCCTGCTCAGTGGGGAGCCTGCTTCTCCCTCTCCTCCCTGCTCATGCTCTCTGTCACTATCTCTTTCTCTCTGTCTCAAATAACTAAAATCTTAAAAAAAAAAAAAAAAAAGTAGCAACAGTAAACCCATTGCATGTTAATATAGGTAACAATTTTTTATGGGAACTCTGTTTCCAAAACAGAAAAAATGAAAATGACGGGGCATTATTTTACATTTTTACAAATCTTTCTAATGTCTGGCTTTATAGAGGACAGCTGAAATATCTCCTTCTGCCTTCCAGTTTGTTGAGATACGTCATCTTTTGTGACAGTATGTTGGCCTTAAGTATAAAAGAGAATCCAGCTTTACACAAATGTGTAGTTAAAAAAGGAAGAACATCTCATTCCCCTGAAAGGGTCTTGGGGATCACATGCTGTGAATCACTGCTTTACTTATAGTTCTGAAAGTTAGACAGCACCCTGGCACCTCAAAGCCACAATAACTAAGCTTTCCCTAAAACATTTAATTCAGCTTCACTTTGTAGAACGTTGTAGAGATTCTGGGGCATCTGCTTACCTGTTGATCCCTTTCTCTAAGAACTGTACCCCACTCCCACCCAACAGGGGGAAGATTTGGGGGGATCCTGGTAATAATCCTTCTAAGACCCCTCCTGCTTCCCACCCTAGGTATAAATTTCTGCCCCAAGGGAGGTCCCCAACCACAGCTAGTCAGCCAGGCTCTTTCTTCTGGGACTTGGGAATTTGGGGATGTGGACTAGGGGAGTTTGAACTCAGAAATCGAGGCTGCCATTGTAGATCAACCTCCTTGGTTCTTCATGGCTTCTAGGTCCTGCTTCAAATCTCTCCAAAGTTGAGGCTCCTGTTTTAATACCTTGCTCATTTATTATCCCATTTATTTGTTCTTCTAGCAAACATTCCAAGGTCAATAGCAGCTGTGGATCTCAAAAGAGTAGAAAGAGTTAAAAGTTCAAAATTCAGTGGTGAATATGTGTGTGCACAAACATGGGTGTGTAAAAGAAAGAGAAGTTCATTGGTTATAAGTGAAATTTTAAAAATGTATGTAGCAGGATCCTGGCTGCAGCCAAGTTATGACCCCTTTAGGGATTTGGTTGGGTCTGATTCATGGACCAGAATGGTAGGTCCAGCTAGTGTCCATTTGCTTCTTGAAAAGGAACCCACCTAAAGGAAGAGGGAGCATAAAGCTCAGATTGGAAGGAGTCCTGGACTCAGAGTAGCATGGAGTCCGTGGTCCGATTCTATTCTCAGCCCTGTGCTAGGTCCATCCCCTCCCCTGAATAGATTCATGTTGCAATCTCAAGTACAGAGACATAGCCAGGGCTTATGACAGAAAAAAACAAAAAAGAGGCTTTTTTTGTTAGCTATTCTGTAAGATAAGTGTTCTAAGCAGCAGTGATGGCTACACATCCCAGGCAACATTCGGGGTGCTGATCACGTGTTTGGGCATTCGGTCCTCACTGCCAACCCTTTGAGGTGGGTGCTGCTCTTATCACCATTTCACAGGTGAGGGATCTGCAGCACAGGGCAGGAATCCCCCCCTGACAAGTCCCCTAGGAAAAGAGTGTGCGTGGTGACATCCCTGTGGCTCTAGGTGTAACCCCCTTGGTGTTGCCCCCCTAACATTTTCAGTGGGGAAATGGTATTCTTGGAAGCTGGCACAAGGATTTCCCTTAGGGGAAAAACTCTATTCAAGAAGGGGAGGTGGAGAGGGGGTCAGGGGAGTGAACCCTGAGGGGTCAGGAGGCAGGGCAGAGAGACAGCTCACTTCCTGTGCCTTAGAAACCAGCAAACAGGGGCGCCTGGGCGGCTCAGTTGGTTAAGCATCTGACTCTTGATTTCGGCTCAGGTCATGATCTCAAGGTCGTGAGTTCAAACGCTGTGTCAGGCTCCATGCTCAGTGGGGAGTCTGCTGGAGATTCTCTCTCTCCCCCGTCCCTCCCCTTGCACGCACATGTGCGCACGCACTCTCTCTCAAATAAATCTCAAAAAAAAAAAAGAAAAAAAGAAAGAACAGGATCTGCAGGTTCCAAGACATGAGTGGGAAGGGAGAGGAGAAGGAGGAAGATGAGATGCAGGCCAACGTGGCCAATAGAAAATCCCTCGGTGGCAGGAGGGCTTTATTGAACATCCGTTTTACTGAAGAATAACATACATCTTGAAAGTGACAAGTCATGAGCATCCAGCCTGGTGAATTCTCACAAAGTGAACATACCCACAATAACCCATACTTACCTCAAGAGAAAGGACATTCTGAGCGTGCCAGAAGTCCCAGCCAGGGCTCTTTCCCGCCATTAGCCAACCCCCCCGACCCCAACCGGCTCCCTGGTGCCAAAAACTCATTTTGCCTGGCTGTGAACTTTCTGTAAATGGGAAAATACAGAAACCTACCTTCCGTGTCTCACTTGTCCCAGTCAACGGCCTGGCTATGAGTCTCATCTGTCTTGGTGCCTGCGCCTGTGTCCACCTTCTTTTCACCGCTGTGTGGTAATCCAGTGAACCACAGCCTACTTGTGCTTTCCACATGGATGAACATTCTGGGATGGACATTTAGGCATTCTCCATTTGGGGCTGTTGTTGGGACTAAGGCCGTATGGTCTTCCTCACACACGTCTTGGCGAACGTTCATAGCATCTTGGTGGAGTAGAATTGCTGGGTCAGGATGTAGGGTAGGCATGTGTACACACTCTACGAGACATTGCTGGCCAGTTTTGTGTGTGAACCCATATACAACTGGTGGTAGGTTCTTTTTAAGACTAAGGAATGTCCAATCTCTTTATGAATTTGGGCCCCTGGAATAGAAACTTCCATCCCTTCCTCAATGTTCAGTAATATCTATCACATCTCACAGACCACTTATATGAATGGAGGGTTTTGGGGTGGTTTTTTTTTTTTGACAAAAATCGAAGAATAAGCTGAGGTTCATGGCAGGACCACACTGATATAAAGCACAAAATAGCATGTGGGCGCTGGTGAGGGACACCTGAGCTGGGGGCGACACCAGAAGCTCAAGCCTGGAGGTGTCTGGGAGACTGCCAGCCTCCTACAGTGACCTTGGAGAGCATCTTGGGGCATGCACAGAGGGGTCCAGCCTCTAAGTAGCCAGGGCCAGAGGGACCCCAGCTGACTTTTGGGTCACACACACAAGAAGGGGGGAAATAGTCTCCTTATTTTGACATGTAGCAGGAGTTGGCTTTCTTGCATCAAAGGCTCCAGAACACAGAGCAGAGCTCTGTGCCTTCCACCCTTCACTAGCAATTGCCCTCGATGTTTCCAGAGCTGATCTAGAGGAGGTCCCAGCAGTGCAGACAGAGGCATCCAGGAGCAATGAGGTTCCAGAAAATGGCTAGAGGCAGCAATTTGGAGTCCCAGGAGATGGCACCCTTGGCTAGGATGTCAGAGTCCTCAGGCTAGAACTGCCCCAGGAAAGGTAACAAGACATCTGCAGGTGACTTCTAGGCTAGAGAACCAGGAACCTCCACAGAGAGAGCGGGAGATGAGCCGAGTGGTAGACTCCAAGTGGGGCCAGAGAGGGCCACTTGTGAGCTTCTGGAAACACTTGTGCAGAGCTCCCAGAAATAACTAGGAAAGACTCAGCAGAAGGCTGGAGGTGCTCAACCATGGGTGGGTTTGCTACTGTTTAAGTTACCAAAGAAATGTGGTTTGTTACTGTTTAAGTTACCCTTCCAGCGGTCCCTCTGGGTGGCCAGAGAACCAGGATACAGTCAGAGTACTAATAATACCTGAGTTTATATTTCTCTTTTTAAATTTCATTTACTCCTACTTTTAGAAACAAATGTTTATCTATTACATAAATAAAGCTGGAGTGTTGTTTTCCTGATGTTTCTCCAAGGTCTGTCCCCAAACCCCAGCTTTCACTGCGATCCTAGTTACACTACCCGCCCCCCACCCGCACACACACAACAGTGCAGTCCACCACCCGAAGCAGGGAAATGGGGGAGCAGGGTCCGGGGGCCATGGAAGCCTCCCTTACAACCTCCCCGTGCTCTCCCAGGGCCATGGCGATGGCTGGAGGGTCTGTGGTCTCAGACATGGTCTTTTCATCCAGCAATCCTACCCTCTCTGTCTCCCCCACTAACTCCTGCCAACTGCCAGGCTCGCATCTCTCTGGGTTCTTAGTGTCTTGACTTGTTTGCTTCCCATTACCTCCACCTCACCTCTGGCCCAGCCCCAGCCCCGGTCCCTCCAGCTCCGGTCATCCAGGGTTGCTTCACCTCTCTCATCTTCATTCCAGAAGCTCTAGTTTCTGAACACAACCTCTTAGTCTCCAACCTTCTTGTTTTGTTTTGTTTTGTTTTTTAATAATATACTGAGGGTTGTTTTTTTTTTTAA